CAGGCCACGTCAGCAGACTACGTCAGTACGTCAGCAGGCCACGTCAGCAGGCTACGTCAGCAGACCACGTCAGCAGGACACGTCAACAGGCCCCCGCTCGATCTATGCTGTTGCGATCTCAAACAACAGTCATGGACCAGAGGCCCGGGGAAGCAGACGAGGCCTATCAGGCCCACATGCTGGCCTGGAGTACCGAGACAAAGAAACGGGCAGATGACGCTGCAGCAACAGCGAAGAAGAAGGCCGAGGATGCCGAGCAGGCATGTCTGCTGGCACTTAAACAATAGCGCTAGCATGACGAGGCAACAGCAAGGGCTTCCGATGAAGAAAGGAACCAGCGTCGAGAGAAGATATTTATTGGAGAGCGGGCGTTACTGACAATGGCAGCGGAATGGCGAACCGAAGCGGAGGATGGCAAGTTGGAGGATAGCGCAAACAAGATCGCGCTCCTCCTCTCGCACCTCACAGATCTGCTCGCAACCTGCATTACACAGCAGGCGGAGATCCTCAGTCTCGACACCTCGCTAGCTCACGTCCAAGACCGCCTTCAGCGGTTGGAGCAACGACCAGTCGCCGCGCCGACGCAAGCTCTTCCAACACTGTCGACCGCCTCAATGCATTGGAGATGGACGTCGGCTCACTCAAGGATGGCGTGCAATTACAGCAGACCGCGACGCAACAGTTGCAACAGCGAATCTGCACTACCGCCACCACCTCGAGTTCAAAACCGCGCGAGACAACTCCAAAGTTCGACGGGCAGGAGATCTTCTGCGAGTCAATGAAGACAGATCCGATTCCATGGTTTCGCAAGTTCGAGCTCACGCTACAGCTCCACAACGTCAAGGAACTCAAGCACCACGCATACTTGTACTCTCGCTCAGGGGGCGCGTTGTCGGAAGATGATGCGGCGCAGCAATGGAAATTGACTCGTCGCGGTCAACTCCCGCGCTGCATCAAAAATTGCGTCCGTAGTCATGGACCCTAGCGCTTAGGTTAGATTTGTCCCTGGGCCGAAATCAAGGGAAAGACGGCGCGGTGGTACGGTCCGCCGGAGACCTAATCGTCCCCGTTGGACTGGACCGACGCGACCACAATGGGCCAATTAGTGGGATCCGGTCCAAACGGCACTTGAAACGGACCAAGGGTTAGCGAGATATTCAAGTTTGACCGGTTGGGACCGGACCGACACTACCGTGTAACCCATCTAGGAAAGGAACAGCCCTTAGTAGCCATATAGATGAACAGCCAGGCCCGAATAATTAAAATAGGGTCATATGCTATTTTTAGCACGGGACTGACTATTCGTTTCCCAAAGTCGGGCCTGCGCCAGTCCCGTTCTAAAAATAGCACAGCCCCACACTATTTTTAGCGTGGGACTGACTGTTCATCTACCGGGGACTGGGCCTGCGCCAGTCTCGTTCTAAAAATAGGACTGACTGCTCATATCCCGAGGTCGGGACTGCTGCTATTTTTAGCACAGGCCCGGTCTAGAGTTAGACCACGGCCCCGACCTTGGGACTGCAGCGCTCAGCCCCGATCACTTGGCCTCTCCATTATAAAACATCAGATCAGTTTGCGACAGATCAGTGTGAGATGCACGTGGCACATCAGGCAGCGCGAGAGAACCCTCACTTGTGGTAGCCCGACAGTGTCGGCGGAAAGGCAAGGAGCGAGAAGAGCACGGAGCGGGAGGCAAGGGAGTCGAGCAGAAGGCAAGCCAGGGACGGGATAAGGAAAGGAGGGGGCAGGACTGGCCCCTTACTTTCCCTTTCTCATCCCTTCTGTTCTCATCTTCCCTTCTCTCTTCTTTCTTTCTCTCTCTCTCTCCCTCCTCCTTTTCAACCATCTCCATGGGTTGTGTACATGTCATATCTGATCTGTGCGCTCCATGCTTGACCTGATGATTGGCCATGAACTATGCACTCACGTACTATAATTAAGGGTTGACTTAGTACCGTATACCCATGAGCAATGTATCTATAGGCGGATTGTGCGCAACACACAATATTGCCTCCGAACCAGAATGTTGTTCCTTGGATGAGCCGATTTTGAGATTGCCATTGTAGTGCAGTCGCACTGAGTACCGAATAGATTTTGAGATTGCTAGCGTAGTCATGCCGAGTAACCAGCCGATTTTGAGACTGCCAGCGCTGTCCCACTGAGTAATAAGCAGATTTTGAGACTGCCAGCGCAATCATGCCGAGTAAACAATCGATTTTGAGGCTGCCAGCGCAGTCCCACTGAGTAACAAGCAGATTTTGAGACTGCTAGCGCAGTCATGCCGAGTAACCAGCCGATTTTGAGATTGTCAGCGCAGTCCCACTGAGTAATAAGTAGATTTTGAGACTGCCAGCACAGTCATGCCGAGTAAACAACCGATTTTGAGACTGCCAGCGTAGTCCCACTGAGTAACAAGCAGATTTTGAGACTGCTAGCGCAGTCATGTCGAGTTTCAAGCCAATTTTGAGACTGCTAGCGCAGACATACCGAGTGCCAAGCCGATTTTGAGTGCTGCCGTAGTCGCACCAGCCATACCAAATTCAGACTTTGCTGGCGCAGTCGCACCAGCCATACCAAATTCAGACTTGGTTGGCGCAGTCGCACCAGCTATACTAATTATCAAGTCGATTCAGACTTTGTTTGCGCAGTCACACCAGGCAGATTGCACAGTCACATTGAGCATTTCACTGTGCGCAGTTGAGCGCAGTATCTGAGGGCCATTTGAGTCATTTGCCACTGTGCGTAGTTGAGCGCCGTATCTGAGGGCCATTTTGAGCCATTTGCCACTGTGCGCAGTTGAGCGTCGTATCTGAGGGCCATTTGAGTCATTTGCCACTGTGCGCAGTTGAGCGCCGTATCTGAGGGNGACCATTTGAGTCATTTGCCACTGTGCGCAGTTGAGCGCCGTATCTGAGGGCCATTTTGAGCCATTTGCCACTGTGCGCAGTTGAGCGTCGTATATGAGGGCCATTTGAGTCATTTGCCACTGTGCGCAGTTGAGCGCCATATCTGAGGGCCATTTGAGTCATTTGCCACTGTGCGCAGTTGAGCGCCGTGTCTGAGGGCCATTTGAGCCATTTGCCACTGTGCGCAGTTGAGCGCCGTATCTGAGAACCATTTATGAGTAGTGCTGTTCACAAGTGCTATTTCTGAACAGTGCTATTCGCAAAGGGCCATTTCTGAATAGTGTTGTTCACAAGTGCTATTTCTGAACAGTGCTATTCGCAAAGGGTCATTTCTGAATAGTGCTGCTCGCAAGTGCTATTCGCCCGGACCAGATATTATTTTAAGTGTGCGCCCATGCGCACCCAAGCTTGAGAGTGCGCGCCCATGCGCGCCCGAGCTCGATATTGCTGTTAGAGTGCGCGCCCATGCGCGCCCAAGGGCGCGCCCAAGCTTGAGAGTGCGCGCCCATGTGCGCCCAAGCTTGAGAGTGCGCGC